ATGTTGTTAACAACATTCCCTATATTAATTATTTGAAATAATGACTTTTTGTTTATAACCAAAAGTCATGAAACAAAGAAAAAAAGGGCAGAAAAGTTAAAAACAAAAAATAATAATGTCGTGTTGATCGGTTGCTGCAGACCACGTCTCTGACTGAACTTCCATTTTTCTCCTGTGTTTGAGTTTCAGAGCATCTGTCAGAGGAGAGAAAGAGACATTTGTTAGTTTTTATGGATTTAAATTAAATTAAACCCAACATGAGGTCACACAGCTGCACAAATACTGACCAACATTCATAAAACAGGATTTCAGGAGGAAAATCTTTACAGAGAAGCTTTTTATCCTTCATCACATTTATTATAGTTTCTGATCTTTATGATCTGTTTTAATATGATCTCCAGCTTCTACCTCTTATCTGTTGGATCACCACAGTTTCACAGTCAACATGACATCATTCTCATCAGATTCTGCTGATTGTTTATTTCCACACAAACTAAATYTAACCTGAACCCATCAGTCTGTAGAACTGGATCCTAAACCCAGTCTGGATGTTTCAGATGTGAAGAAGAGGAGGACAGAGAAGAATCAAAGCTGGAGTTTGTCTGCAGTCCAGCAGGGGGCGCTGCAGMTCAGCTCAAACTGCAGTCTTGATAAACAAAGACTCACTTTGTCCACAGAGAGCAGGTCAAACCCTCAGAGGAGAAATATCCATCCTGACAGTTTTCACACACTGTATCCTTCCTGYTGGTCCCTGCAGGAAACAGAGCAGCTTCAACACAAAAACCTGCACATTTCTCAGAGTCACACATCAGTCTGACTGAAAGATTTCTCACCTGCTTCTTTGATTCTCTGTCCAGGTTTACAGGCCGAATGTTTCTCTGCTTCACTGCATCCTGAAGATGTTAAACTCTGACAGAAAAATCCTTCTGAAGCTTCACAAACTGTGTCAGATGTTGGAGARCACTCCTGTTTGGTGACGAGGTTGTGGCCTGAAAATAAAACAATCATTATTTCAACAGGAAGTAAATCTTCTGTCCTTTTCATGTCGCTATAATTGTGTGTGAAATAATAACAGTGTTTAAAATTGTAAATAAAGTTCAAAATCACTGCACATTTTATTTTAAATCAAACCATGAAGAAAATCACAGGAGTGAAGCAGTTTTCAGAACTATGGTTTTTTAAATAAATATTAGTTTAGTGACTCACAGGAGGGATAAAACCTAAAGATTTCCCAGTTTTTACAGTAAAGATTAGTTAGTGAAGAAAAATGAACAGGTCAATGTTGATGTTTCTTCATAGTTTGATTTAGAACACACGTATCAAACTCAGGGTCCACGGGCCAAATGCGGCCCSCCACAACATTGTATGTGGCCTGCGAGGGCTTCATATTTTAACGTCTTATAACAGCTGCTTTAAAGCCAGCATTGATCATAAACTACATCTCCCATAATACATGTTATTTTACCTGCAAAATAACAGCATCAGGTGCATTACGTAGCCAACAAATTTCTTTGCCTAAAATTTACATTTCGATACTTTTCCTGCAGCCCAGTTGAACTGGAAAGTGGGAATTTCCCACTTACARGTCGTAAATTGAAACTGGAACACCCCTCCAGTGGGAATTCCTTGTTGGAAAGTGGGAGGGTTCAAAATTCAAAACTGCAGCCACTCACCACAGCTCAGTGAGCAAAACTCTCTACTTTTACTTTGAATGGTATTTGTTTTATTTATTTCACATTTAGTCAGTTGTATGCATACTTTCCAGTGTTTATAAGAGGACGTGTTAAAACACTATTTATATGCAGGAAATACCAGGTAGAGCTCAGTTAGTGACTGTGTTGTGGCCCTCGGTGAAGATGAGTTAGACATCCCTGATCTAGAATGTGATGTGCAGTTTTCCCAGTGCACTAAAATAAATATTATTCTAAGGATTTTGAGTTTTATTCACAACTTTAAACACACTGCTATTATTTCAGACAATATGTTTGGTTTTCTACTCATCCTTACCCGGGTCACAGGAGGAGCAGAGGATRCACTTTTTCAGGCCGTTAGGTCGGTCCATGAACGTCCCCATCTTACACCGCCTGCATTGTGTTCCCTTCATAAGTGTACAGTCATTGTCCACGACCGTCCCTGTCCAAGAAAAACACAATGATCAGGTTTCAATCAGGCAGCAGGAGGTCCTGAGATCAACCTGGTTTGGTTTGAAACGCTGCAGAGCTGACCATCAAGACACTGCAGCCTGAAACAAAAGATAAAGACCGTTTGAAAAAGATTTTACTCTGATAAAATACTAAATAAACAGATTAGAGTTTGTATTTTTACTCAGGAACATTAAAGTACCTGTGACAATTTATCCTTCAAATACAAAAAAAAATTAATCAACGAAAACAGCTTTATATTTAAGAAACTGGGCATAATAAACAAATTTACCCAATTTGTCACATAACTGACAGATTTTATTTTGAAATTATTTCAAAAGTGAAACAGGAAGTGACATCAAAGGGGAACTCTTTAAAAAAGAAACTTACTGGTTTTTATTTATTCAAAACAATAGAACTGACTTTTCTTCATCTGTCTAATAATAATAATCTAAAGAAACATCAGATTTTTCTCTACAGTTTGTGTTGTTAGTCACAGAAACGCTCTGTYTACATTCAGTCATTCCCCTTTGACATCACTTCCTGTTGTGAATATGTCAACAACCATTCATCTCAGCTGTGTGAAAGGATTTTTGCAATATGTAATTATTGTTATATTTCCAAAAAATACATTAATATTTATTACAAAACGTTTGATGTGACAGGTACTTTAATGTTTGGAGACGTCCTGTGTTCTGATGAACATCATCCTGAGTTTAAAACATTTATTGTCACATTTATGATTCCCTCTTTTCTGATCAGGTTTTTTCAGACATTATTCTGGTTTTATTTGGTTGGATTGTGATGAAACTTACAGTTTTGGAATCTTTGAGATCTCTGCTTTCAGAAAACACCTTGGTTGTCTGAGTTTGGAAAAGACGTTTATTTATTTGTTCATTAATTCGCCTGCTTGTGGTTTAAACTGTTTGGTGAACATAAAATGTTTTTTTTATGAGCCTTTAGTCAAGATACTGATGACTGCGCAGAACAAAGAAGGGAGTGAGACCTCTCCAATATAGCGTCGAGTTTAACTTTAAGCGTCGAGTTTAACTTTAAG